CCCCAAAACCCCAAAACCCCAAAACCCCTCGTTTTAAGAATATTTATTACAGAGTTAAAAATGAAATTAGTGATATTGATTGCCATTTTACTGATCTCCAAGCACAGCTGGGCTTACGATAACCCAGACCCAGTCATTAGAGAGAACAGGAATGCAGAAATTCCATATCTGGAGAATCCAGAAGGAAGACCATATGTAGTTTCTCATAGAGGTGCTTGTGGAACTCTCCCTGATCATTCTACTGCAGCATACGCTACAGCGTATTTTGATGGGACTGATTTTGATGAGCCTGATCTCCAAGTTACCAAAGATGGAGTTCTCTTCGTGATGCATAATCTTTGTATGAAGGAAACTACTAATATTGCAGATCTACCTCAGTTCGATGATAGAAGATCTGACGTACTCCATATTACTAATGAGACAACCTTCAAATGAACTGATGATTACATAGTAAACGATTTTACATGGCAAGAACTTATCGATGCAGGGCTGAAAGTTAGAAATAGATATAAGAGCAGAAATCACTTCTATGATGATCTCTATCCTCCGATGAGACTTGAAAATGCAATCGAACTTATGTTGGAGCTTAATGAAAAGTCCCCGAAGCAAGGACGCAAATTTAAAACAGGGCTTTATATTGAGACCAAAGCTGTCAGATTCTATAAAGAAAAAAGAAATGTTGATATTGCTAAGATTCTTTATGACACTTTGGAAAAATATGATCTTCATACAGTTGAGAAAGCAACTGAGAAGCTCCCCATCTTCATTGAATCATTTGAACAAGATTCTCTGTTATATTTTAAATCAAAGACAGATCTTCCTACAGTACAACTGATGACGAGTTCAATAGAATATGACCTTGATTGGATCTCAAGCTACTCAAATGGAGTTGGCCCTAAGCACACTTATATGTTTAATCAGGAAGGAGAAGACTTCAACCTTGACAAGCCCTCAAAATTCGTCGAAAGATGTCATGAATTAGATATGAAAGTTCATCCTTACGTTCTTCAGGATGATATTCTTGTTTATTCAGAGGATCCTATTGACGAGGTAAAAATTTGGGAGGCTAAAGGTGTCGATGGATACTTCACAGAGTTCCCTCAGTCAACTCTAAACACTCTCCTCTACACTAAATCCCAAAGAGAGTTAACTCTTATAAAAGAGTAACTTCTTGGCAAAAATAAAGAAGTTTCAATAATAAGGGTAATAAAAGGGGTTTTGGGGTTTTGGGGTTTTGGGG